ACTATTGCACTTTCTCCCAATTCTGGAACAGAAAAAAACAAACAAAAGTTTTAAATATTCTCTAACTCTGAAACACTTCCTACAACTCTTTATCTTTACAGTCTTTACAAGCTCTGGCAGGCTAAAACTGCAATTGAATGATAAACAAATAAATACATTTCCAGTATATAACCCATCACTGCCACTTTTTTAAAATGTCACACAATAGATTTGTATAATTTTTTGTCTTTTACGGTTATAGTTATTCTTTTGAAAAACAAATGTTAACGATGCTATATCACCAATATAAGAAATTAGTATTTTCCCCATAAAAATTTAACATCTTTTTTAAAAACAATTTAAATCACTAGTTACCTACAAGAAATGAGGGTCACTTGCTTTGTACTTCACATGGTTGCTATTAACTATGAGAGCCCAAGTGGATTCCAATTCATGGAGGCTATGTGTGCAGAGAACTAGGCCATAAGGCTTTCAAGCAAATTGCCAGGCTGTCAATTGCAATTAGTTTGCAACCATGTAAATTCACAAGGCTGTTGCTGTCAGTTACTGTGGAGCAAGTGGATAGCCAGACACTCCTGAGTGCAGGGTAGAACTGTCCCATAGGGTATTCAGAAGTTAAGTCACCGTGCATGTCTTCTGAGATCCCTGAGAAGGTTCACACTAGTAGATGAACATTTAATCATGCACAACACACGAGAATAGCAATTTTAAAATTTGTGTTAATTTAAAAATTAGTCATAAAATTAAAACACTGACAATTTTTAGCATAACAAAAGTATTTAATCTGGTATATAAATAAAAATTTCAAAAAGTACTTTAGAAATAAAATCTACAGTGTAGTATGGCATCCACTTCCTAAACAACATGCCTCTGGAAACTATGAATTTTGAAAAATGTAGATGGTTGTAGAGGGGCTTTAGGCCTTTTGTTCATAGGGTCATTATGAGTCATGCTCAACTCAAAGGCAATCAACAACCAGTGCTTTTTGGATGTTAATTTAAAGTACTATGAAAAGAAACTCCTTTTTATTCAAAGCAAAGATATAGTGGATAAAATATTTCCAAACAAATTAATTCCTATAGTATATTAAATTTCATTACCTAACATTTTAAAATGAGCCTAAAGTTGAAAACATCAAACACAACAGTTGTCAAAATGCTTAGCCCAGGATTTCCCTTATAACATTTCATACAAGCAGCAAAAGCAACTTTCATTTTTACTTTTAAAATCAATTCTCAATTAAGTAAACTCCACTGATGTGTAAGTTAAGAAACAGAGTTTACTAGAGGTAAAGGATATGGTTAACTGAAATTACCATATAGATATCAACCTTAGAATTAGAACATTTTTATTTTCTGCAATGAACTTTTAGCTCTCATAATCTTTAAAAATCACACCACTTTCAAATACTACAAGGGAAACAATTTCTTCCATGCCATTATCTGTTGGTTGCTTAAATAAAACTTCTGATATCAACTTTTTCAGAAGAAAAAGATGGAATATTTGAGCTTTTAATTGATTTAACTTGACATCTAAGATTTCAGTGTATGCCTCAGTATTTCAAATAATCACCTTTATTACTGACCAAGTACTGCCACTAATAGACTCTCAACCAGCTCCTGATATTATTAAATGTCTCTCCTTCCATGTTCAACACAATACTCCAGAGACTGAAAAATGCTTACCTATACGCCACAGGATTATCAACTAACACTAGTTAAATACATTCAAGGCAGGGTATACATGTTGTGAACCTTCCAAAATAAGCATTATGTCCAACACAGATCAGTAAACTAAGGAATATGTTCTACACTGTTGTTCAAAGTGAGGCAAAGAAACAGATCTCAAAGCTTCCAGATTCAGTTCAGTGGCCTGGCTATGAACATGTTGAAGCAGAACTAAAGTCAAGCCAAACTAGGAAGCAGCACAACTTATTTTATCTCATTTGTGAATATGCAGACTTGAGCTACAAAGTCCAGATGAACTGGAAGTTATTCTGTTCCTTTAAAAATTTTTCCAACTATTGCTTGTTGCCATGAATTGCAGGCTAAAACTAAACCTCATACTGGTCATCATGGTAGACTCAAAATACTGAGGTGTGGCCTAAAAATGGAAGAACATCGAAGCAAATTTTAAAAACAAGCAGGCAAAAGAGACCACATGATGTGAAAGAAAAGACCTAGATTTAAGGCAATGTTTAAGGAATATATACTAAAAATGACACTTACATAAAAAACCCAACACAAAACTACACACAATCAAACCTTCAGTAACATTCTCCAATTCCAAATCTAAAAGGTCAGTTGATTCTTTTATTTTAATCTTTCAAGAAAGCTAGAAATTTGACATTCAAATTCCTTTCATGTTCGGGTTAGGGACAGTAATTTCTGTTAGTTTTACACTAGCAACTTGTCAAAAGTTCAAAAGAATGTAAAAGTGACTCTTCCTTATGGTTTCAAACTGCATTGTTCACAGTAAATCCAACTTCACTGAATCAAAAGGTCATAAAATTTGGCAGAAGAGTACCCTAAAAGTAATTACATTTAGAACTCAATGTTTGGATTGCTTCATAAACTGTTATACAGAGTAACAGTATTTTACTCTATATGGAGTTGTACTCCATCTAATCAGATGGGACCATTTTCTTTTCTGCTCAATACAGTTACATCAATATAAAACCATCTAAAACCCTAATAAAACATTGTAGTTCTCCACTGATTTTAAAATCTCTTGTATCATTTTGCCAGTCACATAATTCTAAAATACCTAATGCCTAAGAACAGCGACACTGTATACACTTAGCACCCATCTTTGCATTATAAAGCAACAGGCAACTGCTTATGGGGATGTTACAGTTTTAAAAACAAAGATATATAACAATACATTACCTACTACTAAAGAATAATAAAGCTTGCCTTCTTAAAAAATAGTTCTGGGTTGGCAGTTTTTTGGTCTTGTCTTTTTTTTTTTTTAATTGTCAGAAAAGGAGGAGGGCCATAAATACAAGAAATGGATTCTTGAAAGATTTTAGGTTAGAATTTTAAGTGTTTTTCCATTTTTGGTTATGTAGCATTGAGTCAGAACCAGCTCCTAGTGGATCCTCTAGCAGGTTTTTTGAGGCAGTAAATCATCCAGAAAAGACTACCTATCACTCTCCAGAGCAGGTAGTGGATATGAACTTCAAGTCTTTGGGTCGGCAGCAATAAAATGCATATAATATGTGTTAACAAAATTAAGATTTAAATTATTTTACTTAACAATTAGCTATGTCCTCATTATTAAAGACTGTATTATTAAACTGTATTGCCCAATACTCTTCGAAGTGGGAGGCAGCAAGTTAATAAGGTGATACATAGGAACACAGACTTTAAGATCACAGGGAGACAAGATATGACTAGTCAGCAACTAGTAAAAGACCTTGCAAAAGAAGATGACATTACTTGAGGGTAAAACGTTAACTCCAAATGAATCTCACTCAATAAAAACTACTTTCTGTGGATGACAACTGATCACAATCTATTATGTTAACTATTATTTAATTTTTCATTTTCTTTTCTAAAAAAGCCAAACCCACTGCCCTCCAGTCGATTCCAACTCATAGCCACCTTCCATTAGGTTTCTAACACTGAAAATCTATTAACGGAGGTGAACCACCCATCCTTCTCCCATGGAGTACCTGGTGGATTTGAACGAACCACCTTTCAGTTAGCAGTGTAATAAGCAATTCACTATGCCATAAGGTTTCCTTTAGACTTCAAATAAAAGTAAAATTACAGTTATCTGCAGAGCAAGTAGTATAAAAAAACAATGACCTTCAAACCTAAGTTTATGGCAAATTCAAATTACAGGAATTAAGATTTTAATATTAAACATCCAATGGAAAACAAGTCTTTCAACTATACTAATAGCTCTCATTTAGTTCACCACTCCTAACCAGTGAAATTTAATTACCACAGTGCCCATTAGTTAGCAGAGGAAATTAATCAACTTTTTTATTCTGTCAAACTGACCTGTCCCATCCCCTCCCACCAATCCATTTTGTTTTTCCCTTTTTTTCACTCTTCCTGCTCTTTTATTTCCAAGAAAAAAAGTGGGCAGGTTTCAGTAAATAAGAATATAGTAGTTAAGTAAACTGTGTGTGAAAATAAAATTTATTCTGACTTGGCACTTTAAAATAGAATAAAATTTAAGAATAAATCAACTATCTGCAAATTACTTATTCACCTGTGGCCCTCCAAACTCCAGAGCTGGTGGATACAAACCCCTGGAAAACTCAAATATGCTCCTAAAGGTGGAAAGATTGACATTTAGGGGAGGGAAAGGGTGGGACAAAAAGAACAACACTCAACCTACTAGCCTTGTCCAAAGAGAAGTCATGCAATTGTGAATATATGTCAACGAATTACAACTAACATTCCAGCCATATCACAACAAAAATAAAAAAATCTAAAGGGCTGTAGTGGAAAGCCACACCAGCCTTCCTCTGAATGGCTTGTATGTAATTCTCTACTACGTTGGGTTTTGCTTTCACAAATATGGTTGGCAATAAAAACAATTTTTCACAATACAGCACCATTTTAAAACTGTTTTAGTTCCAATATGTACAGAATATTTGGGCATAACATGCAAGACACTTTAAACATGTCACATCAAACTTTTAACATTAAAATTAATAATCCAACATTTTCCATTTTAACAAAAAAGTCAATATTAAAATTATACTCTTACCCAAATAGAAAATATCATTACTAATTCTGTTTAGCTTAAATTGGCCAAACCCAAAATACATGCATTACCACAGACTGAAAATCATATAATGGCATCAATCTTGCCCAATGATTACACACTTTGCCTAAAACATTTTATATCCCAGGTACAAAATATCCTACTGTACTACCATCTACAATTTCCTGGGGATCAATGGGCAACTAATACAAAGCCTTTGCATGTTATGGCTATTGAAACCTTTAAAATACAGAAATAAAATTTAAAAGTTTTACCATTCTTCCCGCTGTGCCGTCGCTGCTTCAGTGTGTCGTGGGGAGGAGTTTGAATGGCTAGGGAATTAACAACCGGTACAGCAACCAATCAAAATTCTAGTTTTAGTTTTTGACATTGCTAGGGTTAAAAACTTTTAATTCATTTACACTTCAGTTCAACAGTAGATAACTACAAAAGGAATTGCTTTGTGATTTGAAAACTCATTGAAAGTCTGCTCAATAGTATACAACAGTATACAGATACTTTGGTGCATGAGACCAAAGAACAAAATTCAGAAAACAAAACCGTTAAAGGTTTAAGTTTCTAGACGTATAAAACATTGGTTTATAAAAACAAATAACTCAAGATCAGTTCTGTTTAACTACAGAAAGCTAGTTTTCCCTCCCACCTCCACTCCCCCCAAAAACCAACAATATAGTCTGACAAGACCTGTTTGGGATTAACTATTTCCAAAATGCTTCTCCCTCCCTCCTCCAAATCTTCTGTTCTTCCCCAAGGAAGGTATTTTCTAATGCAGGATCAAAGCAGCGTTTTAAATGCTTTTACCTCCACCAAAATATTTCTGGTTATAATGGGGATTGGGGTTAGTGCTCTCATCACAAAAAGGAATAGAAGCTTTAACCTACGATTAGCAATCAGTAACGGGAATAGAAAGAAAACTCAACCAAGAACCCCGATTTAGTCCCTCCAGCTAACTCCTGGATTATACTCCCGCTCCCAAATGCCGCATTTGAACGTCTTCAATGCAGCTTTTCAAAGTACTACAAATGTTACTCCAACTGCAGAAAGCAAATTAGTACTTTAAAACAAAATAACCATGTACACCTTAGCACGATACAGTGCTTGACGTTCATTTCTTCATCTTATCAAAGAGAGCGGGCGGGCCTCCCTTTTTTTTTTTTTACATCGGATTAGAGAGCGGGAAGGAGAAATCAAGAGAGACCAAAATGGATCCTGGTCACTGAGGGGTTAAAAGGGGGGAGAGGGGGCGAGTTTTGTGCTTTTAATAAAAACTCAAAACACCCCAAGCAACAATGATTGGGAAAAAGTCGTGCGCTGCGCGTAAGCAGGTGGGGACGCCTGACAGGCGAGGGCGCGAACAGGGGCCGCGGTGCGGCGGGGTCGGCGCCCGGCGAGTACAGGCCCCGCCGACCTGAACTTGGGGCCGACAGCGGAGCCAAGGCCGCCCGGCGCCCAACAGGCGGGCCCGCCCGCGGGAGAGTGCAGACAGGAGGGCACCGTCGGGGCCAAAACCCCCGAATCCCACCCGGGCCGGAGGGGACCTGGACTAAAGGGCTGCACCGCCTCGGGAGGGACGGACGAGCGCGCTCAACATCCCGAGCAAGACGGCAGACAGGCGTCCGGGCGGCTGGACTTTCCAAAACAGGGAGAACACAACGCGAAAACCGGGGGCGGGGGTGTCCCCCTCGACAGGCGGGAAAGAAAAAAAAATCCTGGCGGCTAAAGCAGTGGGAGGAGACCCACGACGCGGGAGGGAAGGAGGGCGGGCCGGCAGCAGCATGGTGACGGCTAAAGGTGGAAACGTGTGTGCTGGGGGAGGGGAAGCGGCAGCCACGGGGAGAGGGGCCCGGAGGCCCGGGGAGCCCTACACCGCGGAGGGGTTAGTGCACGGAGCCGGGATCAGGGCCTGGGGCGCGGGCGGGGGGGAGCGGGAACAAGGCCTAATGGCGGAGGACGGACCAGGCGGGGAATTTAGTTGGGCCTGACTATCCCGGGCCGCCCTTTACTCACCCTTCATCCTCCTCATTCTTACTGGCGTCGATCTTCGCTCCCTCCGACTCCGCGCTGCCTCCTTCGGTGCCTCCGGCTGCGGTGCCGCCCCCGGTCCCGCTTCCCGCCGCCGCCG